GCATCAAACTTTGCCTTAAATGCAGTATTATTACAAATGGAAGCAGATAATAAACTCCATCCTCTAGCTTTTCATTCCAAAAAAAATTCAGTAAAAAAGATTAATTATGAAATTTATAGTAAAGAGCTCCTTATAATCATAGATTCATTTCAAGAATAGCATCATTATTTAGAAGGTATCTCGAGTCCAATCACTATGTATACAAATCATAAGAGCCTTAAGTATTTCATGTTGGCATGTATTTTAAATCGTTGCCAAGCTCATTGGAGCATGTTTTTATTAAGGTTTGATTTCATGTTTATTTATTGATGTGGATGACAACAAAGTTTATCAAATGCCTTTTCTAAAAAAAAATATCTTACACCAAAAGAAGGAAATGCAACTTTTAATCAACAAAGAATAATTCTCTCGAAGCTAGAGCATTTTCATCTTTGAGCAATAAAATCAACATTAACTGTTGATTCAACCTTTGTCAAGAAAATTCAATCAAGTATGTCCTCTAATCTTCTTGTCCATGATATTAAGAATAATTCTTCTAAATCTCATGATACTTCCAAGTTTGAATTCAAGAACAATCTATTCTATTTTGAGAGATGATTATATATTCCAAAAGATGCAGCATGATTATGTGTTCTTCAAGCTCATCATAACTTTTCAACAATTAGATATTTTGGATACAATAAGACTTTTGAGCTAATATTGAGAGATTTCTAGTGGCTTCAAATGTGAAAGGCAGTCAAAGACTTTGTATAATCATGTGATATTTTTTCAAGATCCAAAACTCTTGGCCATTGATTTTATAAATTTCTTAAGCCATTATCTATTTTAGAACAACCACAGTCTTCTGTTTCTATTGATTTTATCATGGATCTTCCAATCACAGGTTTGTATGATTCTATATTTATGGTAGTAGATTATTTTACTAAGATGGCACATTTTGTAGTATGTACAAAATCTATCACTAGTAAAGAAATGGCTAAAAATTTTCTTAACAATATCTATCACTATCATGGATTGCCTAAAGATATTATATTAGATAAGAAAATTTAATTTATATCAAAATTTTGGAAAATCCTTTTCAAGATTTTAAAGGTGGATATAAAGCTCTCATCAACTTTTCATCTTCAAATTGATAGGCAAATAGAATAAGTGAATCAAATTTTGGAGTAGTACTTGAGGTATATCAGCAACTATCATTAAGATGACTGGACAACTCTTTTGCCATTGGCACAGTTTGAATTCAATAATTTGATACATTCTTCCACTCAACAAACACCTTTCTTTATCAATTATGATTATCATCCATAACTTGATATTTTTTACTTTTCAAAAGTTGATAATTCTGTGGCAGAAGATTTAGTAAATTGTTTGTCAAAGCAACATACAACAATAAAGGCAAAATTAAAAGAAGCATAAGAATAAAAAAATATTAATATAAATATCTATTATAAGAAAAAATCGCAATTTAATATAAGTGACATTATATGGTTACTTTGATATAATATTAATACTACTTGTCTTTGTGATAAATTGAACTATTGTAAACTTAGATCTTTTTCTATTAGTGAACAAGTCAATCTTGTTGCTTATCAATTATATCTACTGAAGTCTATGAAGATCCTTCTCGTATTTCATGTATCTCTTTTTGAGCCATATAAAACAGTGAATATCTTGGAAAAAAGACAAATGCCACCTTCTTCTATAGAAGTAGATAATAATCAAGAGTTCAAGGTAGAAGCAATCTTAGATTCAAGGCGGTGCCAAAATAGATTGAAATATCTTGTTCATTGGTACAAATATGATATCATAAAATACACATAGGAGCCAATAAAGAATTTTGCAAATGCAACAAAGAGAGTTAAAGCTTTTCATTGATGACATCCATCAAAACCAAGATAATAAATAGAAAATCTTTGTCATAAAAGAAACAAGATGAAAAGAAGATAACACTCTACCTTTTATACTTTTTTCTAGATTTTGTGTATTTGTGATACTAAAGAGATGGAGAACCAATAACCAACAGATTCAACTCAAGAGCTTTTATTTATTGACTTACCAGATGAAACATTATAATTGTCACAACCTTCAAGATGATATAACCATGATGAAGATCCTCAAGAACAATAAGTCTTCCTTCAAATAGATGGTGAGATACAACATGTTTGATATTACAATCTTGAAAGAGACTCTTGATATTTGGTGATTTTATTAGAGGTAGGAACAACTTTTGATAATGTTTCAAATATTTTATTTGAAGGAATTTACAAAAACCTTAATAATGACAAAATAATAAAGTAGTCTTCTTAATTTATAATGGAATACTATCAATGGATAAGAGGACCTATCAACTATCTTCAAAGAGAACAAAGATTAGAGTATGTAGTAAATATAATTTGCAGTATCTTAAATTTCTTCAACATATAAAGATTACTTTTTATGGAACTCATTCCTAGAAAGAGAGGTAATGTCATAGATATACATATGTATTCTAGTAAATATCTATATGATTAGATAGAAATAAGTAAAAATAAATAATATTAATTTAATTCTATAATATCTTGTATAGCAGCTTCTTAGAAGCTTTATAGATATTTTTTTGATTTAACATGTATTTTTAGTTGATTGATAGGCTAAAAACTTAGTCAACAAGTTAACCACATATTGATAATGTGCAAAACAAGCTAATTATGCAATGCACATATAGAAAACTTGCCTTGTAAGTTAAGATATGTGTCTTACAAAGTCAACACATTTTGGAGGTCCTATAGGACATTGTCACATAAGTCCTAGTAAAAAGTATATATGGAGGCAAGAATAAAGTCTTTTTTATTCTTATTAATGTCTTTCTAGTGTTTTGTCTTGTTTCAAGACTTTCTAGTCTTTTTGTTTTTTGCAATAGCCATTTTAGTTCAATATTATATTGTCTTTGAGTGACTTTTTAGTTCTTTTCAATGACACAAGAGTGTGTTAAGGATTTCTTTTCTTTGAGATTCATGTCTTTCACAACTAATATGCAAGATTATATATATAAAATAATATAGTTTTCTAGGCAATTGTTTATTATAGTTAAAGATAAGGTATCTTTGTCTATTCATGTGCTTATACTTTTTATTCTTATGATAGGTATAGTATTCCGACAAGAATTTTAGCTACCATTGATTCCATTGATTAGAGTTTTTCACCACTTACTATGGATCATAACTTTTTAACCTTAAAAACTAATGTTAGTCTATGTTTTTATACATTGAAATATAAACTATCAAATTTTGGAACATGATTGATGCCCACTTTTTGTATCACCTTCAATACTTTTAATTTGAAGTTGATTTGAAATTATTTATTAATTTATTCTTAAATAATTCAATTTTACTTTTGCTTATGTTTTATATGTTGTCATTTTAAGATTTATAATTGCTTTTCATGGTTTGAAAAACTTCAAGTTCTTCATCAATCTTTCCTATTACAATAGATTGTTCAATTGTTATCATTACAATCTATTTAGTAATTTCAGCAATTCTTTTCTAAGTGAAGTATTCATCTATTCTTATATTATTATTTTTTTAAGGATCAAGTATTTCTATAGTTCTAATACCATATTGGAAACATCATATGTTATATTATATGTGATCAATATTACATATTATACAGTGTGTACAAGAGTGTCACCTAGAGTTACAACTTTTGGTGTAAAGTTACAACTAGTAGATTGTACAGTATACTGGAAGACTAGTGTACTAAACTGTATAATACTTCCAATATTGAGGGTGTCAGTGGGAGCCATTGTCAATTTTGAAAGTCGAAAGAGAATTTTCTCTCTCCTTTAGATATAAAAGTGAGCTAAGGTAGAAACACCCGATTGTACTCTTCTATTTTTCACACATGGATCTATCCGACAACAGGCTGAGCAGCAACATGCCTTCGAACATCACCGAGCTGTCACAACTGCCGTATTTGAATTTGTCGAAGAATATCGTCAGTGGACAAATTCCGGAAACCATAGGTTCCTTTCTTCTCGAACAGTTGGATCTTGCTGACAATCTTCTAGAGGGCGGCATTCCAGAACAACTGGCTGTTCAATCCCAATTGAACGTTTTAAAGCTCGGAAGAAATAACTTATCTGGTCCTGTGTGCACAGGAAACCAACTACACACTTTCAGCAATGACAGTTTCCTCCCTGGAAACGATGGGCTTTGTCGCTTTCCACTTCCTACGATCTGCCCTCTACCTGGCACTTCGAAAGAGCCAGATTCGAGAAACGGTTCAGAATCACTAATTAAGGACGATTTCAGCAGTTCGGGTTTTGTGCTGGGACTGGTAATCGGTTTTGTCTCGGTTGGTAGAAACTTTATCAGGTGGAGACTTGCTCGGGGCTTCGTCTACCCCAATCACCTCAAGATCCGGCGCATTACGGTTCACAACAATGCAGTGGGAATGTGGGGGCCCCGCCTTTAGCCACGCCGACTCGTCCCAACTTCGCTACTGTAATCCTGACAATAAGGTTGCTGGATTCATTTACAGGCCTTTCTCTGATTGTCGAGAATGTGTCTGATTGAAACTTCAGTCCTATGGATGTTTGATGAGCTGAGCATTTTTGAAAAAAATTGTATATTGAGTATTCAGAAGATTGATTAATATGGAGTCACTTTGAAATAACTCTGGTCAACACTTCGCAGCTTCATCTTGTCTGGACGAAGGCAGTGGTTTACTTTTGCGGTGAACTGCAACTCAACATGTAACTAATGCCTCCATGTCTGCAATTGTGTCTGGCTTACCATGACCTGCTCTTTTATAAAAAAGCAACGACAAATTTTCTTTCTTTTTTTCTTTTTTTTTTTTTTCTTGAGAGAAGTGGGGGGGGAGGGGGGTGTGTGTGGTGGTGGTGGTCGGGCACCGGCTAGATTCACAACTTATTGTCAAGCACACCGTATGTACAGGAAATCACAGCCGCCTCTCGTGGTTCTCGACTGGAAGCATCAATGTAATCGAATTGTGAAACCGACTGCTTCGAAAAAAGAATGTTTTTTATTACTTGGAAAGGTGAGACTCACTCTACAGCGTGATCTGGTTCTAGCAAAAGAATCTGATTACGTCACTGGCACTTGTTCAGTTTTCGGCCAAGCAGTTAATTACAGCATTCCGAGACAAATTCAATCATTCAGTCTACTCTACACCAAGCGGAACTTTTCAAGCGTGTGTTTACAACACATTGTACTTGCATTCCGGCACCTGAGTCTCATTGTACCGGTTCTTGTCGTCGCAGTAGTTATAATGAATATAATTCTTCCGGATATTTCGAAGCTGACGGGTCCGCGCTGTGCCTATCGTCTGAGAAGATTTGCCAGGAGCGGCATAGGTAGAATTCTGGCATTTAGTAATACTAGCCTGGTCACCCATCGTCGCCGGGCACCCTCTTAGCCGAAAGAGCTGGTAAGTAGCGATGAATGGGGCAGAATTCCAGTTAATCTTCACGCGCCCTCCGCAAGTTGCCCAGCTGCTACCGTCCCAAATGCTCAAGTACAGTCCCATCGGGCACTTGTTGGGGTACATGAAACCAGGCACGATGTTTTCTATGTTCTTGAACATGCGAATGGCCGTGTTGTCAATGTAGAGCACCAGAAGATCCTTGTTCCACTGGAAGTTGTAGTAGTGGAAAGCTGCCGTGGGGTCAAACCAAAGTCGGATCTGCTGCTCGCGGCCTCCGATGCCGTCCACGAAGATGTTGGTGTGTAGAAGATATGGCTGGCCGCTGGAGTTGCCGAGGAACTCGAAGTCGAACTCGCAATGCTTGGGCCCGGTGGAAGCCATCTGCACAGCAGAAGCATCAAAATCAGAGTCATCAATCCCTAACTGTCAAGGAACAGCCCTGGCATATGAAAACCATAATAGAAACTCATAGTGCCAACTGATGCCGAACGATCCATCTAAAATGATGTACCACGTAAATATCCAAGACACTTACGTAAAAAGTGGTGACAGTGCCAGCGGAATCATTAGCGGGGAGCTTAATCCAGGCTCCGAGGCCTCCAAACAGCCACGTTTGCTTCGATCCCATGCCAGTGTAAGCTGCAAAAAATCACAAACACAAGTCGGGATCAGATATCATGGCGAGAGAGTATCGTCGATCATCCTTGGACCCATGCCAACAACGCAGTGAGAGACATTCCAAAACTTCCGCCGAATGTACCAAAATCCATGGGTACGCGATCCGATATCTTATTACAGAACTTTGATATCGATAAAGCAATTGCCGCAGCACTTATCGATGGCAATGTGATGAAACTTGCCAAGAGCACTTCAAGTGGTGAAAGAGGCTAACTCACCAGCCCTTGAATCGTTAAGTAAAAGCTCCACTCTCCTCCCATCCGGAGAGTACCTCGTCTGCTTCGGCGTCCAAGTATTGAAATCTCTGGGAATCCCCCGCTGGGCGACACCACCGACCACCATACTCAAACATACGAGCACGGCGATTGCCAAACATCCAGTAACTCTAACTGAACCCATTGTTGATGAATCCCAAATTCGAGGGCTTACAAAGTCTAGCAAACGCTAGCAAAACCTCAGAGACTGTATCAGAATCCAAGCTCCTCAAAATCCCTGTAAGAGTACCGCTTCCTCAGATTAGCACTATACACCGTAGCAATGCTCGACGATCCTGGACGATGCTCCAGCCACAAACACGAGACCTGGAGGATGACACTACAATGAGATGGGTCTAGATTGTATAGAATGAGGAAGCAGGGGCCCAAACGTGGAAATGGGAGATAAGCATTCAGAGCTGCAGAAGCAGCCGCGACCGAGGTAGCTTCACTCATGCTCCCGAAGCGGCTTTTGTAGGGAGGGTGGGATCCGCTCGCGCTGGAATTATCTTCACCCCCCAGATTAGCAGTGTTACCACCATGCTCGCTTGAGGTGAGCCTCGATTTCATGAATTTCAAGAACTGCGGTGAGGATTACTATTCCTGTGCACAAGTTAGCGGTTTAAAAAACTGGGTGCGAGAAGAGGATTGACAGAGCACATGAGGTGGGACTTCTATGAACGTGGGTTGCCAGCTTAGTTAAGTAAAATCTAAAGTTCGGCTATTCTAGTGCTTGAATTCGCATCCCCGTCACAGAATTCCGAATAGCCGATGACTCGACAGGAGCTTTGCATTTCAAGCTCGCATCCTGGACTAGGTTTTAGCGCACTCTGGAGGAGTTGATGCGCTTGAAATGTGTATTTATTATATCTGTTTGAGTACTACGCTCGCTTGTTTAATCATACTAACACAAACAAAAACAAACAAATAATTTGCGGGTGCTGAGTTCCATGTTTAGTTGAAGTCATTAGTAGGGTTTAGAATCAGCAACAAACCTCAAAAACCAATGATTTAAGGGTTCTTTTACATGGGGAGTGAATGAGCAAGTTCAGAAAGGGATTAGAATATACATATTTTTTAATGTTGTTGAAGAGTGAAGTTTTTGGAAACAAACAACGTTAAATATATATATATATATACACAGAGAGAGAGAGAGAGAGAGAGAGATATATATATATATATATATATAACACGAGGGTGTTAATTTTCTAATATGTATTTGTAACTTCTATTAGATATTTCATTTGTTATCTATTATTTGGATTCTGCAATCTGTGTAAATGAAATGGTTATTTTTACTGTAGGTATGTATGTATGTATATGTATATATATATTATAAATAGACTAATAAATTTCTAAAGTTTAAATTATTATTATTGACTTGTCTCAATCTTTTAGACAAAGATTGATACAGACCTAAATAATTTGTAATGTTATTTATATTTAAGTCAATATTCTTTTTTTTATTTCAAAAAATCAAATTATAACTTTGTTAGAGTTCCATCAATAGCTAGCAAAAGATTATTGTATATATATATGTATGTATGTACCCATATACATATACATTTTTTTATGAAAGCTTATGTTTCAAATTGTTCTACAACCTAATAACACACATGCATATATATATATATATATATATACATATATATATATACATAATTTAGCAAAAAACAGTAAAATAACAAATTCTTAGTTAAATTATTCGTTTTCTGATAAGTAGTAAAATTTAAATGTATCTGAAACCATATAAATCTTTTTGCATCATATTCTTTTTAATTTTTTACAAGTCATTAAGTTATACACCTTTTATTGTGCAAGGTCATTAAGAGTTTAATTTTTTTAGTAATTAGCTACACTTCAAAGAATTATTATGTTTGTCTTCATAACCAATGCAAGTTAATTATAAAAACATCCACCATGATATTCTTATGTGAAGATATTTTTAAAAAAGTGTATATGCTTAAAATAGACAAATAATTGAATTGGGCTAAATTGTTAGTTTACAATTACCAATCCATTTAGAATAGAATCCACACATCCTATGATATTACAAGTTTACAAGTATCTCTTACAAAAGAAAATTATACATATTAAAAAAGTTGTACTTTGTCACAATATCACACTGATTCTTTTACACATCATTGTGTGTATTACTACAACAAAATTGGAATCTTTGATATTCATGATTTTAATATATATATATATATATATATATATATCACTCAAATATATGATACAAGTACTTTGTACTATTTTTTATTGAATCGCTTTATATCTTTATTCTATTCATTTGAAGATTATGATTGATATCAAGTTCTTAAATAATCAGTAAAACTCCAACAATACATAGTTTCCAAAAGTTTTACAACAAGCGCAATTACCGAATTCCAATGGATAAATAATTTTATTTTTAGTGTTTAATGACATACGTACAATGACACAAACAGGTATAGAAAATGATAAGAAAGGAAAGGAAGAAAAAGAACAACGAACGAAGAACAAGGAAGAACGACAGAACGAAAAATACGAACGAACGAGAACGAGAAATGGAACGAAAAAAAACGAACGGAGATGAAGAAGAAGCACAAGTTCAATAATGGCGAAGGGAATGTACAGACAGTTGATGCGCATTTTCTGCATTTGTGCGGCGTGGTGATGGCGTCCATCTGCGTAGATTGCATGGTGCATTCCTTCTTCCTCCTCCTCCTCATTGTCTATGCAACAACCAATCTGCATTTCCCCTCCCCCTACCAGCGAATCTCATGCCCCCTCCGAAATAGCAACGGGGATTCTCATGGAGCCCCGTCTCTCGCTTCCTCGCTTGCCGGAGCTAGTTTGCAAGCAGGGCAGCAAATCATGGGAAATGGATGCCGCGTTCCACCTCCCCATGCCAAGCTGTGTGGTGGTTGAGCAATATTCTTCACCACGTCATTCGGTCTGTCAAGGAGCTCCCCTCCGACTAATCTCGGCGGTTGGAATCTCCGTTTGGGACGAATCCGTCGCCTTCTGGATGGTCGATCTCCCTCGTTCTGAGCGCTTCTAAACAAGGTTGCTGCTTCACAACCTGGTTTCGCGTGCTGCGAACGGGAGGGGCTTCCTGGGGCGGTAACTGAGATCTCCAGCTTCACTTTGACCGCGCTGCCAGATTGGAGCAGAATTCGAAGGCTCATCCTTGGCCTGGTTGGTAAAACCTGTGCTGTGCCGGTCGACAAAACCGCGGCTCCTTGGGTGCTTTACTGGGTTGCTCCGAAACAGTGGAACGGGGGATCGACGTGAGCCTGGATTGGAGCTCTGTCACGTTCTCACTGTGTCTCCTGATCACCAGGCTCTAGCAGATATTCTGGTAATTTGGATCGATGCACTTCCTGGAGCGCGCCTTTGGGCGATTTGAAGGACGCGCTGGGCCTTGACGATCTTAAATTGGACCCCAGCGCTTCTGCAGGATCTAAAGTAACAAACTGCGGCAACCAGTAGTGGCGAAACGATTGTATGGCGGTTCTTTTAATTCAATGGCCTGTCCTAAGCGGGCCTACTTTTTCTTCGGCTACGTCGGCGCAACTCGACATATGTGTGGTCATGCAGTGATATATCCTGAGATTCCGGGCACTCCCCTCTCGTGGTGGTCTCTTCAATGATACATCGATCACCGTTGCGTTGTCTAGATATTTTTTTGATTACTGTGCATGCATTGTGTGCGAGCAGTTGCCACTGTAAATTTGCCTTCTCAAAACCAATGAGGCATCAGACAGTGGCGCAATTTGAATCAGATCTGTTTAGTTGAGAGGGAGTTGACAATGTCGTGCATTCCATTGTGGAAGCACATGTTGACTTGGATGGAACGTTGTCATAATCTTAGAAAATTTGTTGCACAAAACTATGAAAAAAAAAATGGGCGAAATGGCCAAAAACTCAACGCAATAATGAGGAAATGTTTTGCTACTCAAATTAAAGAGAACGCATGCTTCTCTTAGAGAAAGGTGGATTTATCTTGGATACTCTATGATGATAGTATTGAAATGTATACATAGTAATAAGTGATTTTATTGAAGGCTTGAAATATATTGCGTACTAGTTTTCTCCCTAAAACATAACACTTGTTTTTATATATATTTTTTTAAATCAGTTACTTGTTTTTGTTCATAATATTTACTTACATTTTAGAATTCTACAACCTATGGCTGCTAGATCCCAAAGGCCTTCTGTAAGTTAATATTGTTGAAGTTTTTGGTGGACATTGTGATATTTCTATCGTTTGAAAAACATAATTTTGATGAATATTCTTATTTTTGTTTAACTGTTTTTTTAATCTAAATTTTCTGAAGTATTTTTTTATTCAAAATTTATCCATGCATTTCATTTATGTTTCAAAATTATATATTTTCCTAGTTTATTAGTTTTCATTTTTTTAAAAAAAACTTCTTCACTTTTTAAATTCTTATTATATTCTCTATTATACATAATTTAATTTTTACAAATACAAAAGTAAAGTATAACATGAGAATTATTTTAATTTTCTAAATTTCAATTGGTAATTGAGGTTGAAAAGTTGAATTAGTCCTTAATTGTGAGCTTATAATAATTTAAATCTGACTCATATGTATTGTGTTGGAATCACTACTTGTTTCTGAAACCCCCAGAAGTTTTTAAAATAGATCATGTGTAGATACAAGTTTATGTAATGTACTTAACATTATTCTTTTTGTCATATTCCTCGTGACAGCTTGATTTTTAATATACCCAAAAATAAATGTGTGGAATTCAGAAAATATATAATTTGCATTTCTTTAATTTTAGAAAATAAAATTAGGAAGTTAAATTATTAATTACTCTTAGAATTTGAACTATTATGTGCCAAAAAATTTAAAATTTAGAATTAGTAATAGAAAATATTACATTATAATAATATAAATTCTAAACATAAAAAATATTATTTATTATTTAATTAAATTGGTACTATTTGATGAGTATTATAAGTAACTAACAATTCTTTTGATTATATAACAATACAAATTGTTTATAATTTATTATAGATTCTATAAATATTTAACCTTAATTTTAAAAATTAACACATTTATATTTATTGTAGGAATACAAAACATAATTTAAAAAAAAAATAAAAATAAAAAATAATTAACTAACTAACAAACATAAATGAAGAATTTTATTTATGTGTTATATCATACTTTGTAAATTATCCTATTTTGAAGATGTTTTAAACTTTGATCGCTAAATTAGTCTTTATTTTTTAATGCATTATATTTATATCTTATTTAAATAGATGCTCAATTCTCAATTAAGTGGACAACCCAAAAGTAATATTTATTATATTTTAATGACTTCTACATTGACTTATTGCCCTAATTCAAGTGGGGTTGTCCAAGATCCGCTCAACCAAACAACTGTAGTGTAAAGTGCCCCTAAGTGCAATACTTAATATTATTTAGAATA